GGGAGGTGGTAGTTCTGCTCTATTCTGCTATGGTCAGGCCTCACCTGGAGTACTGTGTCCAGTTTTGGGCACCACATTTTAGGAAGGATGTTGACAAGCTCGAGCGTGTCCAGAAGAGGGCAACTAGGATGGTGAGAGGGTTGGAATCCAAGTCTTATGAGGAAAGGCTGAAAGAGTTGGGTATGTTTAGCCTGGGAAAGAGAAGGCTTAGAGGGGACATGATTGCAGTCTTCAAGTATTTGAAGGGCTGTCATGTAGAAGATGGAGCAGATCTATTCTCTCTCGCTCCGGATTGCAAGACAAGGGAGTCGTTACCGGCTAAATATCGGGAGAAACTTCCTAACTGTAAGAGTGGTTGAGCAGTGGAAGAGTCTGCCTCGGGAGGTGGTGGATGCTCCTTCACTGGATGTTTTCAAGCGGAGGCTGGACGACCATCTTTCGGGTATGTTGTAGGTATGTAGGGCTATCTTTCAGCTATGCTCCTGCAGAGTGCAAGTGGTTGGACTAGATGACCTGCAAGGTCCCTTCTAACTCTAACATTCTATGATTCTACATCAAGCAGCATAAAATGATGAAGTTGACATGATGCTCAGGCCAGAAGCAGACCACAAACCATTTTAGAGAGAGAACTCCATAGTTTAAAAGCTATTAAACAAGTCTAGCACATGTAAGCTACGAAACAGTTCCAAGCCCACCCATAGAAAACTAGTGTAGTGTAGTGGTTAGAGGAGGCCATGTGACTCCATTGGGCTAGTCACCATCTTTCAGCCTAACATCTTGCAGGGGTTTGGTGAGGATAAAATGGAGGAAGGGAGACGTATCTTTGACATCTTGAGTCATTTGCAGGGAAGGAAGGTTAAAAATGCACCAAACAGACCAGCCCACCTTCCTAAGTGTAGGTTAAATGAATTATGTGCTCTCATGAGCATCTATTGTTATTTAGAGTCAGTAGAATCACTTCTTTACATGAACCCTGAGACGACCATAACAAAACATCTTATCTGTAAAGGTTATGAAACTTGATAACAGGTCGTGAATGCAAATTTTTACAGAATTTACAAAATGTTTTGAAAAGATATCAATACCAAATATGACCTGAAATTTGAAGTTGTTATCATAGCAAGCACTAAAAATGGAAAGAAGAGAGGGGGGGGAATTTAAGTATAGCTGAAAATAGATTATTTATTTATTTAAATTCTTTATATACCTGTCTTTCTCCCAAGCATCTCAGAACCCAGGGAAGACAAATGAGTTGTCATAACAGTCTTAAAGTTCCATTGATAACTTATATTTATTTATTTATTTATTGGATTTATACCCTGCCCTCCCCGCTGAAGCAGGCTCAGGGCAGCTTACATAAAAGTGTTAAAACAATTTAAAACACATAAAATCTAAAATGCAATACATATATATTTCCTGTGTGACGGCAGTCATAATCCCATACTTTCTTAACAGGGGTCAGTTAGTACAGACTTAGGTGATACAAACAATCCCAGGGAGGTTCCAAGTTATCCAGATGTTAAGTGTGGTTGAATGCCTGGCGGAAGAGCTCCGTCTTGCAGGATCTACAGAACTGAAGTAAACTCTGCAGGGCCCTGGTGTCGTCATGGAGCTCGTTTCATCTGCATAGCGCTGCCACAGAAAAGGCTAGATTGCGACAAATTAATTGTATGAATCCAGAAATTATGTAATGTCATCATGATAGTAGCCCTTTAGCTGTTACATTTCCGGTGCTCCTACCTTGCACGTCAGGGAAGAGCATTATGTGCAATGCTCTCAGTAGGCAAGATGGTCATTTTGTGTGAAACGGGCAATATGCATATTTTCCAGCCATACTATACCTGTAACCCAAATTTTTGAGGTTACACATTCATATGGACCAAAACTGCAAAACATACTCATTGACCTTTTCACACAAAATGGCAACTGCACATACCTAGAGGATTATACTAGATGTGTATGAGATAGAAGTGTGAGAAATGTAACAGAAAAAGATCAAAAGGACCAATATTGGCCAGGAATGGAATATTCCTATCACACATGCTCAGTTTTAAGTCAGCCCTTTGACTTCATAATGCCGTTTTGGATTTTCAGGTTAGCAGGTGGAAAAATTACAGTCTCTGGACTTGAAGATCTTCTACGAGCCTTTGCAAACTGCCATCGACTTGAAGACATAAAGTAATTCCATTTGTTTTATATGGGAAAAGAATGGGATGGGAAAGTTGCATGTGGATGTGGGTGGGAACCCTACTTAATTCAATGAATGCTTTAGGGGAAGATTAATCAGTCACTAAATTCTAGCTTGCAGGACAACAAGATGAAGGAACAGGAAATGGTAAAGATTACAGAAATGTTTTCCATGGTGGAAAAGCTAAAGAAAATAGAGTAAGTAATGTATGTTTATTAATGGTACAAAGCACTGTGGTGGCCATCTCAAGACGCCAGTAGGAACTGAGCTGAGAGCCAAAGTAGACATTATGGCAGTCACAGGTCTGACCTGTGGCTACCCTGGCCGTTTTGGCATTTGAAAAGGCATGGGAAGAGGAAACAAGATTGTGTGGTTCTACTGTGCCACCTTGTGGTATTTTTAAATGGCCAAATTCTCCTCTAAGGCCTCCTTTTACACATGCACATCTTACTGCAGATTTTCCGAGCTGTAAGCCTTTAAGCTTGACTTTGGATTCTGTTTCCACTTTACGCACCATTCTTTTTCCTTTGGTGTATTCATAAATAAATCAACATGCAGTTTTTCTAAATCAGGGTGGAATGTCACTTGTGACATGTGGGGGGTGGCATCCAAGGTTTTTTTAAATTTATGCAATTGCCCTTTTGCAGCTGCGCAGTAGTGTCCAGCAAGCACCTTCCATTTAAATAGGCCAGAGACTTCCGCTTTCGTACCTTCATTATATTCAGTTTATCATTTTCATACTAGAAGCCATGCTGAATTAATAAGAATATGATAATCTAAGAACATAAGAACATAAGAGATGCCAATGTTGGATCAGGCCAAAGGCCCATCCAGTCCAACACTCTGTATCACACAGTGGCTAGAAATACCAGTGCCATCAGGAGGTCCACCAGTGGGGCCAGGACATCTTTGCAGCCTTTGTATTTACCTCTTCCTCTGCGACAAGATATGTATTACACCAAGCTCCATGCAGAAGCCACTGTAGAAAGCATTGTCAAGAAAAGCAAACCACAGCTCCCCGCACACACAGTTCTGCGCTGCCTCATCCCGCTGCTGGTTTAAACCCGGTGGCAGGAGAGGTCAGCCCAGCCGGGCTTGCTGTGCATGCATGGAGTTCTGGTTTGCTTTTCTTGACATTTTTTTCCTGTGGTTGTTTCTGCATGGAGCTTGGTGTAATACATATCTTGTCACAGAGGAAGTGGTAAACACAAAGGCTGTAAAGTCTTTTTTTTTACAAGCCTCATGAGTCTAGTGATGATCTCATATCACTCAACTCATGCAGCTTGAAATTTAAAAAAAATGTGGGCGGGAGAGTGGCCTACAAGGGACGGGGACAGGGCAGGGGGGGGAATCCAAGGCAATGTGTGTGCTTTTGACTTACCTTCGACTTGGAAGCGAAGCAAGGGGGAAAAACACCCTCAGAAAACCTGGGCAAACAGCGAACGGGAAGCGAACTGAGTGCTGAAGGGAGGGAAAACAATGCAGCATGGGGGGGTGGGGATCTGACGGGCACGCACAGTGAAAGCGAGGCAGAACGCCCATGCATAAAAGTCCCATAATGGGGTTGGCAGCCATGGGTCCAACCTATGGCTGCCATAATGTCTAGTTTGGCCCTGAGAATAGGAGCAAACAGGAAACGTGAGGAAATCATAACTTTGCTGTGACTCAGACTGTCTTATTGTGCCAAGTGGTCTACTTGTTGACAGCGGACAATGAGCCCTAATTAAAAATTGGCCCTAGCAGGTTTTTTTAAAAAGCACTTTTTTTGCATGCACCTGACATGCCTGTCTGTTCGTGCAAGTACGGTTGAATAGCCACATAATTTAAAAGAAGAAGAATGGGGGAGTAGAAGGTTTTTCTTTAAAATGTGATGGATTGAATCAGAGGGTGATTTCCCACAAGCGCTGCTCCGCGCTCACTCCTCTCTTTTGCCCCGATGGTACGTGTGAATTTCACACAAGCTGCTGCGCGGCCACATTTTGCCCCGCAGCTTCACGCGATTTCCCCTGCGTCTACTCGATCCTCAAAAAACAGGATTGAGTAGACGCGGGGAAAATCGTGCGAAGCTGTGGGGCAAAATGTGGCCGCGCAGCAGCTTGTGTGAAATTGACACGTACCATTGGGGTAAATAGAAGAGTGAGCGCGGAGCAGCACTTGTAGGAAATCACCCAGAGTTTTGTGTTCAGGGGCCTAGGCAGTTTTAGCTCTTCTTTCAATTGAACAGGACTAAGAGAAGCAGCAGCAACTAGGAACATAGGAAACTGAGCCCTTCCATTCCCATTGCATGAGACCCCCCTCCCTTCATAAGAACATAAGAGACACCAATGTTGGATCAGGCCAAAGGCCCATCCAGTCCAACACTCTGTTACACAGTGGCCAAAAATACCAGGTGCCATCAGGAGGTCCACCAGTGGAGCCAGGACATTAGAAGCCTTCCCACTGTTGACCCCCCCAAGCACCAAGAAGACAGAGCATCACTTGCCCCAGAGCCCCTATCTATACCTTGTGGCTAATAGCCACTGATGGACCTCTGCTCCATATGCCTATCTAATTCCCTTTTGAAGCCGTCCATGCTTATAGCTGCCACCACTTCCTGTGGCAGTGAATTCCATGTGTTAATCACTCTTTGGCTGAAGAAGTACTTCCTTTTATCCGTTCTAACCTGACCGCTCAGCAATTTCATTGAGTGCCCATGAGTTCTTGTATTGTGAGAAAGGGAGAAAAGTTCCTCTTTCTCTATCTTCCAGATTTATACATTTTTCAGGTTGCCTGTGTAGTGTTGGCATCATCGCTATAAGTTGGAAGTCACTCTCATTCCTCTGCAAAAAAACAAGCAGTGAGAGTCTTTGTTTCTGGGGAATGCTTGATTAATTAGATAGGAATTAGTGGTAGGAGGGCAATAAAATCTGGCTTTTTATCTGTGCAGCAGTAAGGAGTAAGCATGCGTGCATGCGTGCATTTTCATGTCTGTATGAAAGGATAGGGAACTGTCTTCTTACATGACTTGCTCCAGAACTGTAACTGTTTGCTTGTTGTATCACAACCAGTTTAAGCCACAATCAGATTTCGGAGAACATCGTTCTAGCTTTCTGCCAAGCCGCTGCGGTTTCTCCTAATGTTACTGAGCTGCATATCAGGTACTCTGGGTGTCAAGAATCACGTAAGAATGGATTGTGTCCATTTTCTTTTAAGAGATTGCTTTTTGTAAATTATGGTTTCATTGTTCTGTAAGAAAATTGCTGTTTGTTAGTTCACCTGTTCCCTCTTATCGCTTATAATTTATATATGTATTTATAAAAACATTTATACTCTGCCTTTCCTTGTAGTTCGAGGTGGCTTACAAAACACTTCCCCTTAAAACCAGAATAAAATAACAAACCCCAGATTTCTCCCTCCCCCCTTAAAAGATTCAAACCCCTTCAAAAGCCTTGGCCCTGTCTTCAGGGAGCCCTCTCTTCAGGGAGCCCATCCCATGGAGCAGGAGCCATGATGGAAAAGGCCCTGCCTCTGGTTGATGCCAAATGGGCCACCCTAAGTGGTGAGCAATGTTCCCTCTAAGCTGTGGAGTCTTGTGAGCAAAAATTCTACTTTGTGGGCTACTGGCTTTAAAGTTGTGAGCAAGCGATTTGGCTACTGCATAAATTAGTTTTGCTCTGGAGCCATCCTTCCTGAGCTGAGACAAAAATATGTGAGCCAGAGGCTAAAAAACTGTGAGCTAGCTCACACTAACTCAGTTTAGAGGGAACACTGGTGGTGAGATAGCCAGCAGATGGCCGCCTGATGACCACAGTTGGTCATGGAAAGAGAGGATCCTTCAAATATGTGGGGCCCTGGTTATGATGGGCTTTAGTTGGACAAATGCCTTGTAAAATGGGGATGAGATGGAAAGGAGAACTTCTGTATCTGTAATAGTTCAGGAGGAAATTTTAGCAGATGTAGCTTTTCTCATCCCTTCTTGACAACCTGCCCAAATTATGTGTTCTGCATAACTGTTAAGGGATTTGGGTCCCTGCCCAACTTTGCCAGTAGTCACCCTAAAATCTACCTTTTGGTTACCTGTGTGGCTATTTGAAATTTTATAATCAGTGAATTTGGCTGGGTGGAACACTTGATTTCAATATCAATGTTATATCTAGTATAGCCGGTCTTGTCTTTACTCTGCATTTTTGGAACATAATCAAAATTCTGCAACTTGCATACGTTTTGTTCTGTTTCAGGTTGTGTTTGTTTCTCTAAAACATTTACAGATCATGTTTGTAGTTTCAAACATTAGTTTTCTCACTATTTGCTGCTTGGTTGCAGGAAGAACACTTTAACTATTAATTTTACGGGCCAATCCGTAAGAAGTGGCAGGTGAGTGATTTGTGTATTTACACACGTTAAAGAGTGAGGTGTCAGAGTGGGTGGTAACCTTCAAACTGTGGAGCGGATGCCACTTCTGTATGAGAAAGATTTCCTTCAAGTAAAACAAGATATCAGGGGAAGAGACTCTAGTCCATCCTAATTCCATCTGCATTACTGAACTGAGCCTTTTGCACAGGGGAACACTAAAAAAAAGTGAGCTCCTCTCTCTATACTATTAGCCACGTGTGGCTGTGATCTGCGGATAGCTAAATCCACTGATGGGGGCCACACGGAGGATAAACAGATTTTTCTGCACACTTGGGGGTCTCCTCAGGTGTGCAGAAAAATATGAAACGTTTTTTAAAATACAGTTGTTTTTGTTCTTGTTGTTCAGTCGCACAGTCGAGTCCAACTCTTTGCAACCCTGTGGACCACATCACGCCAGGCCCTCCTGTCTGCCGCTGTCCCCCGAAGTGTGCTCAACTTCATGTTCATTGCATCACTGTCTAACCATCTCCTCTTTTGCTGTCCCCTTCTTCTTTCACCTTCAATTAAAAAAAATACAGGGGTGGGTTTAAATCCCCCCAAAAGTAAAGGAACATTCTCTGCGCTTGCCTTACCTGTTTGGTGGCATCTGGGAGCTGCGGCAGGCTGTCTGGAAGCAGCTTCAGGCCCTCCCCCAGCCATGGATGTCAGGAGCTGCTCCACACTCAGCAGGAGGCACTGGGAGCAGCTCCAGGCTCAGAGAGACTCCCAGACACTGCTGAAGGCAGTTGGTTAGGCTGGACTTGTGAGGGGGGGGAATGGTACCCCCCCTTGTGAGTTTTGTTGGAACCCCACTTGTTTGTAAGCTATAGGGGTTCAGTCCATTTTCCACCTCAAATTTCTGTCTCCTCATTCCCACACCATTCTGAAGAACTGTTCTTTGGGCTGGGATCAGCCCCGTAGCTAACAACTATTTGCTCAGGGGGGGCCATTATATGTCTGTGCGGTACTGCCATGCCATGCTCATACTTCTAAATAATAACTAAATAATAAATACAAGTGTTTTATTGCATATTATAATCCTCACATATGTATTCTCAACAAGGAGGACTATAAATCCTCTGTATTTTAATGTATTTTAGTGTATTTCTTTTTCAGAACAGTATATTAGAATACTGAGTGTATGCAACGGATATTAGGATGTCTGTTGACATAACAGCATTTTTTGGAGGTGGATGTAGTGTTAAGTTCCCTCCATGCCTGACAGGAGAGAATGAAGATTCCCAGTCATTCTTCCATCTGGCTTTAAACAACAGTCCCCAAGCATGTCCCTACAGATTTCACACATACGTTTCTGCTGTCGCCTCCAAAGCACTCCTGCCTGGCAACGTTTTGGCTGCTTCTGGACCCCTGGAACTCAAGTAGCCTTACTTCCGAGAGAACTGGTGCTGGAATGGGTGACCTGTTATGTAGCCCACGGTCCTGCAGAGAAATCTGGGGGACAAGGATTCCACTCAGCTGTAGCCCACAAGTCCCAGAAGGTCCCCTCCGCAGCATTGCGAGAGACGTGCCGATATGCTTGGTGGCCTCTACAGAAGCTGCTGCCTCCACTACCCCCATTACCCACCACTGACCCCGCCAGCACCGCCGGCCTCAGAAGGGCAGCGAGGGGGGGGGGAGAAAGGCCAACCCCAAGCCTGCCCCACACGACCTGTCCCCAAGGTGACGAGGAGGAGAGGCGCCCCCTGGCTGGTCTCCAGTGGCAGAGGCCGAGCAGGGGGAGAGAGCAGGGTGCCGCCTCCTCCTTATGGGAGCCTGGCCAGTTGTGGCAGGGAGGCAGGCAGGCAGGCGCCCAGGAGGGAGGTGCTGTGGGCGTCCCTGCTCAGCAGCCCTCCCCTCCCGGCAGCAGCAAGGATGGCCGGGGCAGCAGCAGGCAGTGTGGAGTCACTGGCTGCTGGGCTGAGGGCAGTGACAGCGGGGGGGAGGGGGAGCCGAGGATTGGGGAGGGGCCTGTTAAAAATTGCGGGCCGGCGGGCCCCGCGGTAGCTACAGGCCTGGCTGGGATTAAAATTTGAGACAAGCTGTAAGGATGGGAGCTGTTGTGTGAGGCAGCTGTGTGAGGCCTGATTCAGAGCAGAGTGCATGAGAGAAGGTGCTTATGCCTTATCTCTGCACCATTTCCCCAACCTTAAATAGGCCCTGCCTTAGATTGCTATTTGTGCTATTGAAGGCAACATGTGTACTGATGGGGGTACATCTAGGTTTCCTCAGTGGGGCAAATGGTGGTCCCTTGGGGGCTGTTTCCAGATGAGAAAACAGTACGAGGGGGAAGGCATAAGCCCCCTTTCCCCATGCTCTCTGGTCCTGATCCAAATCAAGGCCTGAATGTGCCTGGGAATGAAGTTCCCAGTGTGGAACTTGCAACACATGTCTGACCCCTTTTAAAGCTGTTTATTCCTGTGGCCTTTACTACATCCTCTGGCAGTAAATTCCACATTTTAATCCCTCTCTGTGTAGAGTAGTATTTCCTTTTGTCCATCCCAAACCTGCTGCCCATCAGCGTCATTGGATGCCCTTGAATTTTAGTATTTTGTGAGAGGGAGAAAAAGTTCTCTTTGTCAACTCTCTCTATCATGTCCCTCTTTAGTCATTTCTTTTCTAAACTGAAAAGTCCCAGACCCTTCAGCCTTTCCTCATGAGGAAGGTACTCCACCGCCACCTCATTTCTTCAGCATGACTCGAGCACATGTTTACTCAGTCAGTGTCCTTTATTCGAGCACATGTTTACTCAGCACATGTTTACTCAAGCACATGTTTACTCAGTCAGTGTGCTAAATTTTTCACATATGATATGCTTTATCATATGTGGAAAATGCAAAATATTTGCCACATATAGCATTATTGCCATCATTAAGTGACATAGTGGAATGTCAAGACCATAAAAATAAAGACACTATTGATTCCAGGTCACGATGCTTGGGGACAAATGAAGACGAAACTGCTCCTCAAGCCCAGACTTTAAAATTACGGTAAACATTTATTTAGATTTGTGTTAACTGCTATATTCTGTTGTAACCTAAAATTATATTTTTTTGTTTGCTTATTTAACTCTCTGGTTCAAAAGATCAGCTGGTTGTTAAGAGGCATATTATTTAAAGCAGGTTCGCTGAACTAACTCTTGCCCTGGGCACAAAAGCCGAACTATTGATTCCCTTGGTTCAGTTATGCTAACTTAAGGCTTTCCTTTCATGCTAGACTATCCAAGTTTTCTTTTTCCTTACTAGAAAGGGAAATTATTATGATTGTTGTAATGTACTGTGTTGTAATCCTGCCTGACCCCTGGTTGTGGCATCTCATAGAAGCATGGAATCATAGAATCATAGAATTGGAAGGGATCTCCAGGGTCATCTAGTCCAACCCCCTGCACAATGCAGGAAATTCACAAATACCTCACCCTCCACATAGCTTTCTTTCTCTCATTTTCCAGCCTCACCTGCAGTATCAAAATAAAACTGTTATGTAAACATGAGAAAGCAGAGAATAACTTGACATTTCAGCTGATACTGGGGGGAAACATGTCACCATTAAAGGATAGATCTATGACCACTTTCCCAAGTGAAGGAATGAGTGAGAAATGTATCCTTTTAATCTTTGACCCCTATTCCACAAGCAGTCAAGATGTGGAAAATGTCCAGCAAAGCTACTGTGAATCCGGTGTGGCTAAGGACATCATTCTCCCTTAGACATTCTGAAGGACTAAAAGTGTAATCCTACATAGAAAGATACCTTTTAAGCCTGGACTCCAAATGGATTTAGAATTTAGAGTTTCCAACCTCCAGGTGGGGCCTAGGGTTCTCCTGAAATTACAGCTGATCCCCAGACTACAGAGATCAGTTCCCCTGGGAAAAAAATGCCAGTTTTGGAAGGCAAACTCCATGAGGTACCATAAATTCTAGGTGAAACCCCACCCCAAAATCTCCCCTTCACATGCACTGCCCCCAAATCTCCAGGAATTTCCCAGGCTGGAGTTAGCAACCTTACTTAGAATGATGTAACTTTGCTTAGGATTTCACTGTAATTCTTTCCCAATGAAGGCAGTTTCTACAAGATGAGGGGTGGGGTGGGAAGGAGGGCCCCATATCTGAATGTGGGGCCACTTCTCCACATATGTGGTCTGAACCACTCAAACAACACAGCTTCTCCCTAGATAGCTGTACTCCAACTGTGGTAGAAAGACGCACACACCTGATTCACCTTTCTTGGTGAAGACTCTTTTCTGACTTCCCAGGGTCCTTCCCCCACTCTAGGGTTGCCAATTTCCAGGTGGGGCCTGGTGACCTCCCAGAATTACAACTAATCTCCAAACAACAGAGATCAGTTTCCCTGGAGAAAGCTGCTGCTTTGGAGGATGGACTGTATGGCATTATACCCTCTAGAGGTCCTCCCACTCCCCAAAGTGCACCCCCAAATATCCAAGAAATTCCCAAGTGGGAGTTGGCAATTCTACCCCACTCCCCCAGGGGGACCCAGCTGGGCAATGCCTGACAGTCTGTCCCCACAAAAACTCTTCTCCCCATGAATCTTTAGCCCTACTAGTCTTGTTAAATTATTAATCTTTATTTCCCTGTTTCTTGATGTATATCGCCCACAGACTTCAGGACTGCCTCCTGTCTCCCCGACACGCTACACAGATTGCCTGCATACTCAAGCTCTGTTCCCACCTGTCTGAAATCGAGTGAGTGCTCTTCCTCCCCCCATTTGTTTAGGTAACTGACTGGTGGTAGAGGGCAGAAATGTGGATTGGCCATGTTACTCATCTGGAAAACATGTCAGTTTGTCAGGTAACAATCTTGGAGATGAGGGATGCAAAGAGCTGGTGAAGACACTGCCCAAAATGTCAATTTCTGGCCTGTTGAAGTAAGAATTTTCCTCATTATTTGTTTTGGGACTCGTGCATGCCCATTCTCTGCTTTATTTGTCTTCCTAGGAATCTTTACACACTCAAACAATTTGCAATTGCAAATTCTTTGCAGGTTCAAAATGTTATCATTTCTTGCAACCTGCTCATTGATTGTGTGATGGTATCTTAATTTGTAATCCATTTACAGATGGTTAACTGGAAGGTTTTTTTATCATACTTGTAATCCACCTTGGATTATATAAATGAATGAAAATAATGATAATAATAAAATGATTTATGCAAAACAACAAAATATATGCAAAGCTGTTTTCTCTTATTTAAACCTAGCCTACCTCTCCTAGCTACATGGAGTAAATGGAGGAGGGGAGAGCCAGGGATGCCCCTAGAGCAGCTTGGACAAAATGCAGGATGAAAACCAAATTAAATAAGGAAATTGCCTTACCCTCACTCTTGTGATTGGTCTTCCTACTCCAGAAATGCCTACAAGGTCTCAGGCAGAGAGAGGCTTTTCCCGTCCCCTGTGACTTGAAATCCAGGAGACTGAACCTGCAACCTTTTGTATGCAGTGCCAGAGCTTTGCCATCGAGCTATGGCCTCTTTCTTAATGCTGTTAAGATTTCCAACAACTTCATGATCCTTGTTACAGTGATATATACACATGTGTTTTTAATGAAGGTAACTTGTCTATATCTGGATTGGTTCCCTTACAGTTTAAATAACAACCAGTTGTCTCTGAAGAGCATTTTCTGTCTCCTGCATTCAATGGCGATATGTCCAAATATCAAGAAGCTTGAAGTCAGGTAAGCCTCAGTTTCATAGAATCATAGAATCATAGGGCTGGAAGGTATCTCCAGGGTCATCTAGTCCAACCCCCTGCACAATGCAGGAAAATAACAAATACCTCCCTCCTCACACCCCCAGTGATTGCTGTTCCATGCCCAGAATATGACAAAAAACCTCCAGGATCTCCAGCCAAACTGGCCTGGGGGAAAATTGCTTCCTGACTTCAAAGTGGCGGTCAGCATTTCCCTGGGCGTGTAAGAAAGGGCCACAAGAATTAAGCACTGATGCAACCTTTCCTGCCCTCCCTCTTGTGATCTGCCTAAGTTCACAGAATCAGCATTGCTGTCAGATGGCTGTCTAGACTCTGTTTGGAAACCTCCAAAGAAGGAGCGCCCACCACCTCCCAAGGAAGCCTGTTCCACTGAGGAACTGCTCTAACTGTCAGGAAGTTCTTCTTAATGTTTAGCCGAAAACTCTTTTGATTTAATTTCAACCCATTGGTTCTGGTCTGACCTTCTAGGGCAACAGAAAACAACAACACACCATCCTCTATATGACAGCCCTTCATGTTTGACCAAGAAACTGCCCTTCTCTCTTAAGCACCCTTGTATTTTTTCCCCACTTCGTCATGGTGTGCCCTGGAATGTCAAAGCAGAGGTTAAACTAAAGGAGGCAGTGTGGCGCATTGGGAATGGGGCAACTGCTCTCTTCATTTCATTCCTACCCAGAACTCTCCTCCTGGCTCATCTCTTGCATAGGGTTGCAAGCTCCAAGTTGGAAAATACCTGGACTTTTTGGGGGTGGAGCCTGAGAAGGGTGGGGTTTGGGGAGGGACTTCAGTGGGGTATAATGCCCATAGAGTCCACCCTCCAAAGCAGCCATTTTTTCCTGGGGGAACTGATAATGGTAGTCTGGAGATCAATTGTAATAGCAGGAGATCTCCAGGTGCCACCTGGTAGTTGGCAACCCTATATATCAGTCAAAGATGCAGTGTGGGCAACCCAAAAATATATATGGCCCCGTTCACACACTGAATTTGCCGCGGGAGAGCCACGAATGCTGGGCGGATATGCAGGGCGTGATCACACAGCAACATCCGGCAAGCGTAGCGCACCCGTGGCGTGCCGCCGAAGCTGAGCAATTAAAAAGTATCTCAACAAATGTACTAGCAAATGGTTTGCTATGGGCTGCCGACGGAATCGTTCTGTGTGATTGTGCCGGCGTGCGACTTTCCCCCGGCTGTCCTCCTTGACGCGCACACACTGACGGATGAAACCGCAGTGTGCCGCCATTGCATCTGATCACGTTCTGGCGGGTCTAATTGCACCAGCGCAAAGAGCCACACCTCCCCCCCCACGCATTATCTGGCCTGTGTGACCGGGGCCATATATTGATTTTATACCAGATTAATTGGGTGGGTTACCTCCGAAAAAAAGTCCTGGGAAATGTCATATAGTGAGGGAGCTGGAGTACTTCCGGGCAGAGATCCTTTTTCATAGGACTACAGTTCCCAGGATTCTTTGGGTGGAGGAAATATTTATCATCACAAACAATTCCTTTAATGGCATTTCACATAAGTGAGCATATCTGAGAGATAAAAATTCAAATTCTCGATAAAATTCTATTTCTGTTAAAAATTACCCTGCTTTAAGCATTTACAAAGTTTTACTACGTATAGAAACAGCAGCGAGTAAAAACTTTGCCACAAGTTCAATTATGTTTTCCTCAGTGTTATTTAACAGGAATAATAGTTTGTTCGGCCTAGAAAAATCCAACACACTATCCAAAGTTGATGATAGAATACGTTGCCTAATAGCAGAATAATAACAACAGGGAATGTTTATCAAACCAATTAAAATCCAGGGTGTAGATGTAACCTTGACAAGATCAAAGTGCCAGCAATAATTCTTAGCTAGCCATGCAGCATGAACAACCCCTGTGCTGGTTTTACAAAGATGTAAATATTATTTATGCAATGCAAGTTACTTTGCTGACAAACTAAAACTGTCTGATAACATGGACACTCCTATGGGGAAACAGGATAATTTCTATTACATTGGGCCATGTGTGACTATTTGGTTTAGCTAAGGAGGCTGAGATTACACTGCTTTGGCTGCGGTCACACGGAGCAGTAAGCACGCAAGAGGGACTGAAGAGAGGCGGAGTTTCCGGGCGCGATCTCACAGCAACATCTGGGGAGCGTAGAGCTCCCATGGCTGATCCGTGGCTACCGGCCGAAGACGCACAGTAAAAAACTAGTACCTCCGAGGTACTAGTTTCTGGGAACTGCGCAGCAAGGGCGGGCGCCTGATCGCGCCCCTGCCGGACTCCCGTGGCATCCGGCGCCCGCCGGGTGGTCCCCCCCATGCCTCTAGAAGCGGCCAACAGCCCGTGTGCACAAAGGCGCGCGGCGTTAGGGTCGAGGGAGGGCCATGGGGGGGCTGCAATGGGGGCGAGCGGCAGCGGCCAGGCAGAGAGCGGGCTGCATGTCCCGGGGGGAGGGGGACCTCGCCGGGACCTCATCGGTTCGTCTGATCCTGCTGCCACGAGGTATTTTGCCCCGGGGCTAATAGCCACGCCCCCCCCCCGCAGTTTCCTGCCCGTGTGACCGCAGCCTTTGAACAATTCATACATGGGGAATTGGGAGTGGTTTCTCTTCTGCTTCCAGCATTCGTTACTATTAGAGTCAGCATTCCTCTGTCCCTGCAAGTTGTTTCCAGTTGACCATTCTGCCCTGTTTAATCTTAATTATCCTGTATCATGTAATTAAAATTAAGTATGGTAAATATTCATTAGAGAATAGAAGCTGCACTGTGTTGGAAGTCAAAGACTGTATGCTATCTCTTTGCCTCTGCATTTGGAGGGGCTACAATAGAGCTGGAAAGATAGAGAGGTCAGGACACACAAAGCATCCTTTCCTTCTGCTGATAACTATTCTTTTGAAGTAGAATGGTACTCTTAGGGATGGCTTCCTCCACTTCTGTTCTGACACCTCTCGCAGCCATTGCCAGTTCTCTCCATGTTGGCATCCTGGATGCAGGACATGCTTCCCTGCATCTGCATCCATCCTAGCTAGTTAGATTAGGCTAGCTAGATAAAGACTATCCTGTCTTTACTGTCTCCTGTCTAAGATGGAGTTTTATAAATAAAGGAACTCATTTTAGTTTGCAAATATAAAAGAGGCTCCATGTAACTTTGTTCTTATCAGCACACACACACACGCTGGAGAAGCTTCACTGCATGGTAAGCCTTGTGTACTCTGCTGACTTATTAATGGTTCCTGTCTATACCAAACCAGAGAATCATAGCATATTGCACACTTTAAAGAACCTTGGAAATGTTTGGTCTACTGATAATCTGTTAATTTGAATTGCCTCTGTGCAAGCAGGGGCAAGTCTTCCTTAAGATAAAGCCTATGAGGTTTGTTGTTTTAAGAAATGAAAGGATATCCTTTACAGCTACAGAAGACCATACTGTGATAGGAAAGGTGAGATAAGCTAACTCACTATCTAACAAGGAGAGATGGAGAGTGCATGTTGTCCTTGCAGGTAAGAGAGAGTGGGGGCAGCTGGCAGGACAGAAGTCCCTAAGATTAGCATTCTGTGTACAAAAGAGATAACCACAGAAGAGGAAGACACAGAGAGACAGATTTGACCAGTCCATTTTGCTAGTTCTACTGTGCCTTGCCCTCCACCCAGTACTAGTGTGTTTGTGGCAAGCATCTGCATCAATCTTCTCTTCCATCCTAATCTGTGTTAAAACATAATGACTGCAGTTCCAACATCCCCTGATGAACACCACCTAAAACAGGGGTCCCCAGCTGTCATGGTTTGGGTGACACCCCACCTGGGCCGTGACACCAGCCTTTTTGAAACTGTGAGCACCTTTGGAATTCTGTCATTGCATGGTGGGTGTGTCCAGAAAATGGCCACCATGAGAGGTAGAGCCAGCCACAAAATGTCTGCCACAGGAGGCTGACCCACACACACAGAGGAAGCTGAAGTGTAGGAGATAAGAGGAATTTTAAAAAAAAAACCTTGGAAAGAAGAGTGGGAGAGAATAAAACCAAAACCAAGGTGGTAGCTGCCACTGAAACAATATTATTTTAGTCTGGTCAGGCAATCAGATCTCCAGTTGCCAATCAGAAGCCTAGTTGGACAACAGCTCCCACCTGGCCACACCCACTTTCTAAAAACAATTGGTGGGTGCCAGGAAAAAGTGCGTGGGGGTGCCGTTGTGTACATGGGTGACCCATTGTGGACCCCATATAAAGGGAAGGAGGAGATCTGTCAGGATGTTTAATCAAGGCTGAGGCTGTGTGTGCAGAGGAGGAGAAGTTAGGATATTGCTCACTGGCCCTGCCCCCTGACTGCATCCAGCCTCTGTACATTCTCAGTGATGCCTATGACCTGTGCTTATAAACTGCTATGGAGAGTCTCTGGCTGCACCCAGCCTGCATTCAAAGCTTAAATGTAGAGAGGTGTGCATGCATGGGCCTCTATTAGGAGAGCCAGTTTGGTGTAGTGGTTAAGTGTGCGGACTCTAATCTGGGAGAACCAGGTTTGATTCCCCCACTCCTCCACTTGCACTTGGCTGGATGACCTTGGGCAAGCCATAGTTCTGATAAGAGCTGTTCTTGAAAAAGAGCAGTTTCGGTCAAGCGCTCTCTCAGCCCCACCTACCTCTCAGGGTGTCTGTTGGGGGGAGGGGAAGGGAACGGAGCTTGTAAGCCGCTCTGAGGTACCTTTGGGTAGTGAAGGGCGGGGTATAAATCCAATCTCTTCTTCTTCTTCTCTTCTTCTAGCGTTGCCAGCTCTGGGTTGGGAAATACCTGGAGATTTCGGGAGTGGAGCCTGGGGAGGGGAGGGACCTCAGTAGGGTATAATGCTGTAGAGTCTACCCTCCAAAGCAGCCATTTTCTCCAGCGGAATTGATCTTGGTCATTTGGAGATCAATTGTAAGAGCAGGAGATCTCCAGGTGATACCTGGAGGTTGGCAACCATAGCCTCTGTGCAAATGACACCTTTAATGCATGGAAGTTGGACACAGTGAAGGGTTGGTATCAGTGGGCACCTTCCTTCCCCACAAGCATCTCATCCCTCATAGAACTTCTGCATGGAGCTAGGGACGGAAACGATCCTTCAATTCCAGCCGTTGGTTGGAAACGCATATGTAGTGTTTGTGCCAGTTTTGCCATTAAATCCAGTTTGATGTTATACAAAATCCTTCTCTCTTTTCTCTAGTCTTCATCAGAAAACTGCAGTATTGACACTGGATAATAGAGTGGCTCCTGGTGCCTCTTGTTCCAGGTACAGCGAGTTGATTAAAATGTGTTTTCCTTCCCCTCATTCTGTGGCAACATGCCTCTGACATGTCAAATAACTGAGGAGATGTGAACGAGATTTAAAAAAAAAAAACTCTTTTGCAGCCGGATTTAGGAGGGCAGCCGTGTTGGTCTGAAGCAGCAGAACAAAGTTTGAGTCCAGTGGCACCTTTAAGACCAACAAAGTTTTATCCAGGTCAATGTTCCCTCTAAGCTGTGGAGTCCTGTGAGCAAAAATTCTACTTTGTGAGCTACTGCCATTAAAGTTGTGAGTAGGTGATTTGGCTACTGCATAAATTAGTTTGCTCTGGAGCCCTCCTTCCTGAGCTGAGACAAAAATGTGTGAACCGGAAGCTAAAAAACTGTGAGCTAGCTCACACTAACTCAGCTTAGAGGGAACACTGTCCAGGCTGTAAGCTTTTGTATGCAAAGCACACTTCCTCAGACAGTCTTTTGCAACCAGCCTGCTTGGTAAACAAAATATATTTACCTTGAAAAGAAACATTTGGAATTCACTGCAGCCGCAAAATACAACAGACCTCTTCATTTGAAAAAAAAAATTCTCTTTGCATTTTGGAAGCAGGGATCTGAAATATAATACATTCATTTCCTCAGTTTCTACTAAATTAAGAATTACATTCCAAATGGTCTGTACTAATCTCCTGGTGTTTGCTTGTGTTGCATCTGTACTATGTGGTGGTGGGCGTCATGGGTGCAATCCAGCCACAGTTCCTCGGAGGACAGGGAAGCTGAACAGCCGTGTATCAGAATCCTTTTGCCACCTTTTCTATGCTTGCGTACCCTGCTGCTTTAAAAAGCTCCCTGAGCACTTTGCTCTGAAGAAGGCAGTATTTCATCTCTAGACAAACAGAATTTTCTTTCTGAACACATTTAAGGTAGTTCAGTATCCTCCTAGGTTTTCTCTCAGCCAGCATGTTCATATCCCCTTTGAATTTTAACTTACAAAAAACAACAAAGGGTGAAGTCTGCAGCCTCCGGCCAGTTTGGTATAGTAGTTAAGAGCACGGACTTTAATCTGGGAGAACCGGGTTTGATTCCCCACTCCTCCACATGCAGCTGCTGGGGTGACCTTGGGTCAGTCATAAGTTCTTTCAGAGCTGTTCTCTCAAGGACAATTCTCAAGAGAGCTCTCTCAGCCTTGACTAAGTCACAGGGTGTCTGCTGTGGGGCAGGGAAGGGAAAGGAGATTGTAAGCCGCTCTGAGACGCCTTCAGGTGGTGAAGGGCAGGGTATAAGTCCAATCTCTTCTTCTTAAGGCATGGTGGATAGGGGTAGGCTTGCCTATCTGATCACCATAGAATCATAGAATTAGAAGGGGCCATAGAGGCCATCTAATCCAGCCCCCTGCTCAATGCAGGATCAGCCTAAAGCATCCCTGACAAGTCTTCATCCAGTCGCTGCTTGAAGACTGCCAGTGAGGGGGAGCTCACCACCTCCCTAGGCACCTGATTCCACTGTGGAACTACCCTTACTGTAAAAAATTCTTTCCTAATACCCTTCAGTCCTGTTCAATAGCCAGCATGCAGGAGATTCTGGTACCTTCAATAGCTGGTCTCTTTATTGCTTCCAATTGGGAGAAAATACTTACAAATGGAGACTACACATATACATACTAGAGGACTGCAACCAACACACACCCTGAATTTTACTTCACATTTTGACTTAATTGGGGACTTGAAGCAGCTTATATTATTCTCCTCTCCTCCTTTTTATCCTCACAACAACCCTGTGAGATAGTTTAGGCTGAGAGCATGTGACTTGCCCAAGATCACCCTATAAACTTTCAGGGAAGGGGGGGATTCGAACCTGGGTCTCTCAGATCCTAGTCTGACCTTCTAACTGCTACACCCTGATGGCTTTCACACATAACAAGACCTAAGTGAAGCCCCTGCCATACAGACCTTAAGGAAGGAGAAACTAGGTCTTGAGGGCTTAAAGATATACACACATATGTACATCACATAGGCGTACTTAATATTCTCAGCAGTAGATTCTCCATTCTTTGTCTAAATACAAGAACAAAAACCTTTTTAGGACCAACCAAAGTGTCACAAAACAGGGTGTCAACTTTTCAGGTTCTTCAAAATTCTGTATCAGGCTGGATGTTACAAAAATAAGGTGTGTGTGTGGGGGGGAAGAAACAGGTCATGGACATCCTCTAAGTCTTTTTTTGGGGGGGATTTTGCTTTGAACCAATGTGGTTGCCTGCAACCTCTTTCCATCCATCTTCTGGGTCCCATTTCTGAAACTGCTTTACATGTGCCTTGCCCACTCACTGGTGTTTTGTGCAAGTCATCATCTTTTAACTGTGTATTTTATTGTCATTAATATGCCTTTATATGCATATACTTTAAATTTTACCCTACAAAAATTATGGGCCTTTTAATAACAGTTGTGGAACTGCCTCAGGAGTGGGGAAGAGTGAATGGATGTTGATTTTGGCACTAGCCAATAGGCACTAATCCTTTCCAGTTTCCCCAGGATTTTAGTAACTATGCAGAACTGCTTTTTTCAGAGCTTTCTCTGGGATAGAAAAAAAATGTAGGTTTATTTTCAGGAAAATGAAATCATTTTCCAATCATCTGCATCACATTTAAAACATTAGACCTGTTTCCACGCTCCACGAGGGGCTTTCAAGGCTGTAAATTGACTGGTTGTCTTATTAATTAACCGTTCTCATTCGTATGTGCTGTTGTTCGTGCTACTCTAGATATTTGTGTGTATTTAAGTCTCAATTAATTTTTACTTTTAAGTTACCTTGGGATTCTGGCTTTTGGACCAGAATAGCTGGACATAGGATTGACAGATGAATTGCTACATGAGCATTAAATTTTGGCATATCTATTGAATATAATCAGTAATGGCACCAGGTTTTTTTGCCACTGCTGTTCAGTTATGCCCCATTGTATATTTGATTCTTTCCCCCTCCACCATTGAGTAATGCTTTTCATTTGACATTGCTGCAGGAGTTGCTCTTTGAATGATGATAGGTTCAGAACTGAAAGGTTCAGCACTGATGAAGGACAGATGTTGGCAACATCAAGGAAAATATGGTACATGGACATCAATTGTTTGCTAAGAGACCAGTGAGGCTCTTTAAAAAATAGCTTGTTTTATCTTAAAGGCATTGTAAAGCCCCAAAGATCTTGGATTGTGGCAGCAGCAGGAACTGGGTACCTTGATCTCCATGCCAAAGGTTAGGCTAGTTTGCAATTTAGCAAAGTTTGGGATCAATCTGTATTGTTCCTATTCAATTTAATGCCTGATCTCAGAAGCTAAACAGGGTCAGCCTTTGGATGGGAGACCACCCAAGAAGTCCAGGTTTGCTACCCAGAGGCAGGAGATGCCAAAACGCCTCTGTTCGCCTTTTGCCTTGAAAACCCTACGGGGTCACCATGAACTAGCTGAGGCTTAATGGCACTTTCCATTGCCACCAATTCATTTGTATTATTTTGTTAATGGCCCTGATCATGCTAATGGACAGATGGGATATTGATCGAATAAATCAATAAATTCTAAATATGTGGATGAAATAAAATTGAAATTGGGAAACATAGAACTATCTGAGGAGGTCCAAAAATGGAGGAAAATAATTTAGCATGTTATGTTTAAGCAAGAAACCTGCAATCCTGGAGAAACTGAGGGATGGGGGAAGATTTGGCAGGTGGCTAAGATAGGAGTGGGGAATGAACTTAATTTAATTTGGGCTTTAAAAATGCCCCTCAGAAGTTTTTTTATATTACACCTCAGGGATTAAATTGGTCTTCCTTTGGTCTTAGCTTGACAGGCAACTTTTTTCTTGACGAAGATCTGAACAACCTGTGCTTGGCGCTGAGAAAGTGTTGCAGTGTAACGGAGTTGGAGTAAGTTTTCCTTGTTTCTTTCCTTGAAGTTAAATCTAACATGTTGTGTGTGTGTGTACTAATCTGCAGAGCACAATGTTAGCAGGCATGCAAAGCTGCAGTGGGAGGGAAGTTGCCTTCCTTATGTACAACTCTGCTTGTGCAGCTTAGGATCCAAGCCTGTGCATAACAGGAGAGTTGGATCCTGCGTATGACTATGTTTTGGATGTAAAATATCGACAGCATTTGTACAATACTGTGTATTCAGCTCTGTGCCCAGAGACCAGTGGAACTCATTCTGTGGCTTGCTGAGAGCAGCATTTACAGTGATCATCACCGCAAAGAGCCACATGACTGCTGTATATCCTGTGGGCCATCCCACCAAATGCACACAGCCGCTCAGGCAAGAGGCAGTTTGTCATGGCTTCCAGAGGAGAGCAAGCTGGTCATGGAGTAAGCCCACCTCCACCCTGCTGTGGCCAGCTTGCTCTTTTCCTGGGCTTAGAGTGCAGAGGCTGCAGAGAAGCATGAGGGGCTGTTGGACAGGATGTGGGCCTTTTCCTTCCATCCCTGGCATGGGGCTCACTGTTCAGGGAGGCTCACGGCTTACCAGTCCTCCATTCCCCATGGTGGTGGCTGTTTCAAGGTGGGCACTGCCTGCCAAACACAAATCTTCCTGGGCAATGGCCTTGCTCACTTTCCTGGAGCCTGGGGTGGTTGCCATATTGGGGAACTGTGCTCAGAAGAGCCACAGGTGGCTCCTGAGCTGCTGAGTGGGTATCACTGGCATAGATCCTGCTTACCTGCTACTTAAAATATATGGGTGTGGAGTAAACCTGGAACTGGGAAGCATGTGAAGGTTGAGTTTGCCACATACAGATTTCTGAAGTTTCATGTGAACAGGGCATTGGGTTTGTTCTCTGTGAGCCCTGGGGTAGGAATGGGGAAAGCTGAAATAATTTACTAGAAGAAGAATATTACCCCTTGGTGGGATTTCTGTGATGCCCCTGACAAATTATGGGCCAGGTGGCATTTATGATCTAACACAGGAGATCCACATAGTATCCATCCCTTCCACAGATTTAGCTGTCGATGGCCTCTGGAGGATGGAAGATGAAAATAATGCATCGTTCGATTCATTCATGAAAAGAATGGATCATGTGGTCCATTCATTAATTCCTTTTCATGTAGGGAGCCTGCACTTGAACAACTGAGTTTTTAAAATAACAACAACAACAACAATGATGTCTTCTTTTTGAAATCATAGTTTGTCAAATAATTCTCTGGGAGACTCAGGAGTTTTGAAGGTGGCCGATCTTCTCCCAGATATGAAGGCATTACGTTCCTTAATGTAAGTGACGATCCTGCTTGGGTGTTTAATAATAATGTCTTTTGACTGGAATTGGAAGGAAGGCAACATGGCACGGCCCGATCTCATCAGATCTCAGAAGCTAAGCAGGGCCGGTACTGGGATGGGAGACCTCCAAAGAGGATTCTGCAGAGGAAGGCAAGGGCACACCTCCTCTGCTTCTCGCTTGCCTTGAAGGCCCCTTGCTGGGGTCACCATAAGTCAGTTGCAAATTGACAACACTTGGATGGGAAACCACCAAGGAAGTCCAGAGTTGCTATGAAGAGGAAGGCAGTGGGTAACTACTGCCTTGAGAATCCTATGGGGTTATCACTTGGTGGCAAAAAAAGTACCAAAGCCCGAAAAAAATCCCTGATTATTACTGGGGGGGGGGGGGGGGCTGTTGTTAGCAAAATAAAGCAAAAGTCTCCCAGTGGCACCTGAAGGACTACTGATGTTTATTCCAGTATGACCTTCTGTGAGTCACGGCTCCCTTCTCCACCTCCAGGCACACTTTCTGTAGCCAACAGACTTGAACGTTTTTCTGTTAACTCTTCATACGTAACAATAGCCATGGAGTTGAGACTCCTCCCGTCCATCGTTCCTCCTGAGCTGGGGATTTCCTTCCTTAAGGCCATCCCATATTCACCTGACACCAGCCCCCCCCCTCGCTGTGACACCACCTTGGCTGGGGTGTACTCTTTCAGGTGGGGAGGTCCCTTAAGTGGCTTTTGTGCGTGCGTGTGTGTAAAGTGCTGTCAAGTCGCAGCTGACTTATGGTGACCCCCATAGGGTTTTCAAGGCCAGAGACGAACAGAGGTGGCTTGCCATTGCCTGGCTTTGCATAGCAACCCCTGACTTCCTTCGTGGTCTCCCATCCAAGCACGAACCAGGGCCGACCCTGCTTAGCTTCTGAGATCTGACAAGATTGGGTTAGCCTGAGCCATCCAAGGCCAGGGTGTGGGTATTTTACCCATGTCTAATAGCCAGAGAGTTTAGAGCTGGGACAGAATGGGGATGGGGGACAATCTGCCAGTTTCCTAGAATCTAATCGGTTATGTTCTTATGCAGAAATAAACTGTATTTCTTGAAATGATTCAGCTTCCTTTTCTCTGCTTGTAGACTGGATCAGAATCGCATATCCCTGGATGGTGTTTTTTGCTTGGTGCGATCCTTTTCCACCTTGGAACAGATGGCCACAATTCACTTGAAGTACGTTCAAGAGATGGTTCATAACATGAGGACTTATAAAAGGAGTCGGTACAGCCTGGGAAACTTGCAATTTTTGTCAGAATAATAATAATTTAATTCTGTCATACTCAAAATCTTTTTTTTACTATTACAGTTTGGGAAATACCCAGTCAGTTCGCTTATCCTCAGGGGATAGATCCAGGTAAATATCCAGTCCTGTCAATACATCTTGAAAATTATCGTAATATACTGTTTCCCCCGATTGATGATGTCGATCTTCTGTCTCTTTCTCTCTGCTTCCCCAGTTCTTCCAGAACTCTTATAATGTCCACTGAAATTTTCCTCCCCTCAAAGCATTGCAAATTTTGTGCTCTCTTCTCTGCACAGTTTCATGTCAATGAGGAGGAGAATTTTCAAGTCAATTGGACCTTTTGTTTCCTTATGTCTTTTTCAAAGTACAACACCTTGCCTTTCTATGAAGGCCCAGGTAGCAGCCACTGCCAAGGCAGCGTTTTACCATCTCCGGCTGATTTGTTGGTTCCCTTCCTTGAATGCAATGATCTGGCGTCAGTGATCCACGCTATGGTCACCTCAAGGTTGGACTACTGCAATGCTCTCTACACGGGGCTGCCTTTGGTGCAACTCCAGAAGCTGCAGTTGGTGCAAAGTGCGGCGGCCAGGCTGTTGATGGGTCTCCCTATATGGGAGCACATCCAGCCTGTGGTAAAGACACTGCACTGGCTGCCAACAGCATACCGGATTCATTTCAAGGTGCTAGTTTTGACCTTTAAAGCCCTTTATGGTCAGGGACCTGCCTATCTGAGGGATCTATCTGCCTTTCCCCGCATGTTCCCCAGAGAGCACTGCGATCAGGGTCACAAAACCACTTGGCCCTCCCTGGTCCCAAGGACGCCAGATTGACATCAACCAGGACTAGGGCATTCTCTTTGGCAGCTCCGACCTATTGGAATGAGCTCCCCAGTGAGATCAGGGCCCTGCAGGACCTGAGACAGTTCCGCAGGGCCGTGAAAGCGGAGCTTTTCCGGCAGGCATTCCGATGCCCTGTGCTGACTTACTGCCAGCCAAAGCTACCTGGAGTGGATGCACTGCTGAACGTGCTCTTAAACGCACTTTACTATATCTGGATTGCAATTGACACATTAACGGTCTAAACTGTGTAGTGTGTATTTTATTGTGTATTTTATACTGAGATGTATTTTGTATTTATTGGGTTTTATGTAAGCTGCCCTGAGCCTGCCTCGGCGGGGAGGGTGGGGTAAAAGTCTAAATAATAAATAAATAAATAAATAAATAAAATTCTTACACAAAAAAATCAAGGCAATTTTAGCAGACTTGCCCACGCACTTCCAGTCAGAGGGGCTAGAAACTTAAAAAATAACAACCAAAAGATGCGTTTATTAGGAACTTGGATTCTGCCCCTGGTACCACATTCCATGCTTTCCCCACACTCCCACAAGATCACATTCACATGGCCAAATCTTCTGGTTTACTTACCTGATGGATCTTTTCCCCTCCTCCAAAGGCCCAAACTGACTGGTGAACGTCAAGGCAAGCTGCTGGTTTGTCCACAACACTCGATACGTGCCCGCCGCTTTAGGTAAAGACCCATTTCTGTTTTGGCTAAACCTGGGAGAACCAGGTTTGATTCCCCACTCCTCCATATGCAGCTGCTGGTGTGACCTTGTGTCAGTCATAAGTTCTTTCAGAGCTGTTCTCTCAAGGGCAGTTCTTGAGAAAGCTGCCTCAGCCCTACCTATCTCACAGGGTGTCTGTTGTGGGGAGGGGAAGGGAAAGGGATTGTAAGCCACTTTGAGACTCCTTCAGGTAGTGAAGGGCAGGGTATAAATCCAATATCTTCTCCTTCTAAAGAATCTCAAAAGAAGTGCAGATGAAAATGTTGTTCAGATTGTGATACTTTTGCCCTTAACTGCTTTCTTCTGAAATAATCATTTTCTATCGTGTTTAAAGCACAGAGGAAAATTTTTCAGAGGGAATATGACCCATCAGAGGGATGTCTCTAAGGACTGGGCTCAATCCACCAGGAAATTCTCCTGCACAAGCGCTGGAAATGAATGGAAGCACTGTAAGAGCGCATGGGCAGTGCTGTTGCACAACTCCCTTCCATTTCAAAGAGGAGACCTTCTTGGTGGATTGTGCCCTTTATTTGTTTAGTTTTTCTTAAGAAATAGACCTTTTTTAAAAAAGCAGCAAGTTGAACTACTTTTAAGCATAGCTTAATTTCTGGGGAAAGGAGATGGTGGGATTTAAGCCTGCTTGAAAAATCTCATCCTCTCATCTGGGAAGCCTTTTCTCCAAATTCCTCTACGCTATGGGAAGTACCCTCAGAAACTGCTTTAAGGTACTGTTATCATCCCTTCTTTATTCAGGACTGAGCCTTGATATAAAAATTAAATGCACAAGGCACATGGTATAGCTTTAAACTGGTCTTTTTATAGGCTAAAATTTTATTGATGACATTGAGGAAAAATTTTTACCTCAGGGGAGCTCAATACATTCCTATCCTCTTGAAAGTATATAGGGCTTTATTAGTCTCCAGTCTGACTTGCGGTGCTCCAATCTGGTTCCAAGGCCCCATTGATAAATATGGTAAGGTCCAACTATCATTCATTTGTAATATTATGTCTATGCAACCTTGCATGGCCTCAAATGTTTTGTGCCTTGAACTTGGACTGATAAATATCTCCACCATAATATGGAAGGCTACCTTTAAATTTTATGCGAGCCTTTTTGAACTGGAGAGGATTCCAACCCTTACAAAAATAGCAGCTAGTTGGAAGAGTTGGTATTTAGGTGTTGAAAACAAGCTGATTCATCTGAACTGCTTTAGATCACGTTTACAGGGTAGATGAGATGATAAATTTATTAGGCTGGTAAACAAGAAGCTTGCTAGTTTTGTCTAGAAGTTACTACTGGGACAGTGCATGGCACATGGGGGAAAGTGGCTTCAGTTCCCCCCACCTTGCCGCCACTGCCATTTTACTGTCTTGGAATAGGCAATAAACCTCTGAATCCCAGTGCCAAGAGGCAACATCAGGGGAAGGTCTTGGCCTTTAAGCTCTGTTGTTGGCCCTCCGGAGTAACTGGTTGGCCACTATGTGAGACAGGGTACTGGATGAGATGGCCTACAAGATGAACCATGGGTCTGATCCAACAGGGTTTTTCTTGTGTTCTTATATGGTCCCAGAGATCATCTGTTTGCTTCAGTAGGAAATTTACAAGAATCATAGACTCACAGAGTTGGAAGGGACCTCCAGGGTCATCTAGTCCAACCCCCTGCACAATACAGGAAATTCACAAATACCTCCCCCTCCACACCGTCATTACCCATCAATTTTCCACCTGGGGCCATTTCAGGATAAGAAAATGGCACTGGAGGGAAGGCTGAAGCTACTTCTACATGCATGCCACAGTTGCAGTTAGAATTGGGCCCACAACATCTGAAAGGCTCAGAATTCTCACTGTGCATCTAGGACAAAGTCCTTGTGGGACTTTGTGTCATGTGAATTGGCCCTGTATATTCTCCAGGTAGAACTGAAGTCGAATTTGCGAACTCATCTGCCTCCCCAAAAGGGGAGGAGGTTCTGATTAACTGTCCACACTTTGGGAGTCTTGAACAATGTATATGCTTCAGTCTCAAGGATTGTGTGCTGGCCCCGGAAGAATCATAGACTCACAGAGTTGGAAGGGACCTCCAGGGTCATCTAGTCCAACCCCCTGCACAATACAGGAAATTCACAAATACCTCCCCCTCCACACCATCATTACCCATCAATTTTCCACCTGGGGCCATTTCAGGATAAGAAAATGGCACTGGAGGGAAGGCTGAAGCTACTTCTACATGCATGCCACAGTTGCAGTTAGAATTGGGCCCACAACATCTGAAAGGCTCAGAATTCTCACTGTGCATCTAGGACAAAGTCCTTGTGGGACTTTGTGTCATGTGAATTGGCCCTGTATATTCTCCAGGTAGAACTGAAGTCGAATTTGCGAACTCATCTGCCTCCCCAAAAGGGGAGGAGGTTCTGATTAACTGTCCACACTTTGGGAGTCTTGAACAATGTATATGCTTCAGTCTCAAGGATTGTGTGCTGGCCCCGGAAGATGTTGCTAGACTCTTTGGAATTCTGAAGATGTGCTCTGGGCTGTCAGAGATCAAGTAAGTGCTGTGCATTTTGTATATGTGAATGAATAAAATCCATTCTGTGTGGACCTAATTTACATGCCCAGATTTGCACTGTAAGAGTTCAGGCAATCTCCCCCTACAACATCTGTGTGGATGTCCAGTGTTTTAGCACAAAGCTCATAACAACCTGCTGTCATGCATGTGTTGACCATAAATTGAGGCTAATGCCACTGTGGTGCATGTCCTGGTAACATCTAGATTAGATTACTGCAATGCACTCTACATGGGGCTTCCCTTGAAGATTTTCTGGAAGCTATGCTTGGTATAGAATGCTGCAGCCAGAGTGTTGACTGGAGTGGGTCATAGGGACCATATAACTCCAGTCTTGTTCCACTTACACTTACTTCCAGTTTGCTTTCCGGGCTCAATTCAGGATGCTAGTATTGGCCTTTAAAGCCCTGTACAGCCTGGGACCAACATACCTTAAGGACAGCCTTCTCCCATATGAATCTACCCACTCATTCTGGTCATCCTTGAAGGCCCTGCCTTGATTGCCCTTGCCATCTGAGGACAGACAGGTGGCGACCCGAGAAGGGTCTTTTTTTTTACAAAACTTTGCAACTCGCTTCCCAGGTAGATGTGTCTGTCTCCCTCCATTGGTGTCCTTCACAAGCAGGCGAAGACCTGTTTGTTTACTCTGGCATACCCCCAATAATGGTATTGGCCCTTCTTCTAATGCCATGTGTTTATGCATTTTAATTGAATTTTATAATTTTAACTGTATTTTTAAATTGTTTAAATGTTTTTATGTTCACCACCTTGTGGACCCTGATTGGGTGGAAAGGTGACGTTAAAATGTTTTAAATAAGGTAAAAGAAATAAATAACGCCAACGAAGCTTTTTAATGTCATCTCTCTGGACACTGCATGTGGGTTTAGTGGATCTTTGCCCACGACTGGTGGAAGTGATCATTTGATGCCCCCAACTCAAAACACAACGATGTACACAGTGTCACTTGCCCACTATTTTGGGCACATTTCCTGAATATCATAAATTACTTTGGCCTCTGACTTGGATGGCCTAGCCTAGCCTGGTCTTGTCAGATCTTGGAAGTTAAGCAAGGTTGGCCCTGGTTGGATGGGAGACCACCAAGGAAGTCTAGGGTTGCTATGCAGAGGAAGGCAATGGTAAACCACCTCTGTTTGTCTCTTGCCTTGAAAACCCCATGAGGGGGTCACCATAAGACAGCTGCAACTTGATGGCACTTTCCACCACCAAATGATTATAGTAAATGCCTTTCTGATGTGTTTCAACCTTGGCTATGCAGCTTTTCTGGGAATGCACTAAGTGATCAAAGTGTTGAACAGCTACTGAAGTTTCTGCCCCATCTCCAGAGCCTGAAGCTCTTGAGGTAAGTTTGGATGTCAACCTCTTTGGCCAATGCTCTGAATGTTACAAAGATAACTCGTGTGAAGAATCATTCACCTCTTTCTTAGGTTTGCTAGTTGAACAAGCCTGAATCTGGGGGACTCCAGTGCAATTAGTTTTCCCTGACATGTTTAACTTTATATGATAACTAAGTGGCCTTAAGATGTTACAGCCCTGCTCAGATGTTGCAGATTTCCTACACAATGCAAGTACCCATGTTACTGGGGAGAACAGGAACAGAATACCAAATAAATGAATGGCTCAGATTTCTCAAGGCAAAACTGAGGCCACCAGTGGATCCCTCTAGGCAGGCTTAGTGGCAAGTCATGCCCTGGCAAGATGAAAGTGCCAAAAACAAGATCCAGAGAAGCAGGAGTTAGACAGAGTTGTGAGAACAGAGCAGAGGGGAGAGACTGGAGAAGCAAGGATAATGCATGAAATTCTGAGTGAAGAGCTGGATTCTTGAGCAGAGAATACCGGTCCACAAGGACACCAAGTTTGGATCTCATACACTCCCAGATCACTCACCAAGCTCAGTCTCAGGATAGCCCACTTGGTTCCCGATCCTTGATTTACATTGCATGACAGTTTTAGAGTTAGGACTTAAATACAGAATATGTTTACTTACGAGTTGTCCCTGGGTTCCCTGCTTTGCGCAGAGTCACACATCAGCACCAAGAATGTCCCTTTAAGCTGATTTTGCTGATGATGGGTGGGCATGGGTAGAGGAGGAGGAGGAGGGAGCTCCTGCTCCCCCCTCCCCCAGCCTTTTTCCTGAGCCCAAAGAACTCCCAGTGGGAAGTTATTCACATTTGGGACTGAGAAACTTTGTTTCTCTTTGGAAACTGAGAAAGTTCTGTATGGCCTGTAGCAGAGATCAAATGGGACCCTAAGCCCAAGCAAAGTCATATAGTAGAAGCTCTTGGTGATACCTGTGTCACATTTTAAGTCAGGCCTCAGAGTGGTGTATGGAAGGTGAAATTGGCCAAGGCTTTTTTTTTGCTACTGAAACCTTCGGTGAAGAAGCAGCTGAGACTGAAACCCAAGTTCGGGGAGGGGCTGTGGCTCAGTGGTAAGTATCTTGCTTGGCATGCAGGAAATCCCAGGTCCAATCTCTGGCATCTCTAGCTAAAAGGATCAGATAGCAGGTGTTGTGAAGGACCTCTGCCTGAGACTGTGGACAGCCGCTGCAAGAATGTAAGCTATCTCTGAGACTCCAGGTGAAGGGCAGGGTATAAATCCAGCTCTTTTCTTCTCCTTCTCCTTTTCCTCTCCTTTTGTCAAGTATGAATATCTGATGAAGGGAGCTTTGACTTCAGGTGCTAGTGGACTTGAGTCTTGCTCTTCTGTAGATACTGGAATCTTGGGATCTGGGAAGGCCCTGGCTTGTTCTGAGGTCTCATAACAGTCTTCAGATGAGGTACCTATTCCAGGGACCTCTTGCTCCCCCTTAGATGAGGAGCCAGTTCTGGGGCTTCAGCTCTGGAAGGGCTTTGACAATTACTATATTTTCAATAATTCTGATCTCTTAACTGGCCTTATTCAAATTCACCTGATTTTCAACTCAACAGTTTGAAGAGGGGTTCTAGGAGAGGTCTGTGGCTCAATGACAGAGCATCTGCTTTGCACAGAGAAGTTCTCAGGATCCGTCCATTTAAAGAATCTCATAGCAGGTGGATCCCGTTTCAAGGGTTTATGTGTAGTGTTAGGAACTGGCCTACTCAGGTCAGGTATCTGGATAGGGCTTGCCAATTGGAACTGGTCTGCCAAAGCAGGTGAACCAGCAAAACTCTGACCCAGGACTGAGGGTAAAGTAGATCATGGTCGGAGGAAGCCTCCCTGCTCTTCCTGTTGCCTCTTCTCCAGGGCTTCATCCTGCAAAGAGTTGTTTTGCCTCGATCCTGCAAGGATCAGGGGACTTTCTCAGTGGTCTGAGAACAGGGTGACAGCTGAGCACTCTTCCTATGCAGGGTCATTTCCTCATGGGCATTCTGCCACCTATGCTCTTGGCAATTAGGAGGGTGGCCGAGGGAGTGCTTATCCATGGACTGGGAAGTTCTGGGAACTCCTTGATGGGCTTGTGCTCAGAGGAGGTTCCTTTGGATTTAGGGGGTCCTCTGTAGATAGTTTCAAGTGAGTAGCTGTGTTGATGTGCAGTAGAAGAGCAAGATCCAAGTCCAG